CTCAATAATTTAATTAGTTTAATAATAATTTTTTAATAAAAACAAAAAAATTTTAAATTAAATTTTAATTAAATAAAATTATATAATTTAAAATTTTAATTTTAATTTTTTAAAAAAAAAAATCAAAATTAATATATATTTTTCTCTACATAAATGGTCTACGTTACCATTGCAAGCTTGCTCAGCTCACAAACTTTCATGAAGATCTTACCTAAATTATTTTATAACTTCAAGATTATGTTACCATAATAAAATACTTTTAGATCTCTCTGCCAATTAACGGTCAGCAAATTTCAAAATTTTGAAAACGATAGCATGGATTGGACCACAGATTCACAGGCAATTGTTTATACTTTACATCCGTTAACTCATTCGAAAAACCAAATAACTTTTATGGGGCAAAATTGAAAATATTTTAAACAAAGGAAAAATATAAAATTAAGTCCCTCCCTCTTTAAAATTTTTTAAATTTTGAAAGAGACCTTAACCCCTCCTGAAATCCACGACCGCGCGCCTCACTGTACTCTCTTTTATATATACTTTTTTTTCCTTTTCTTTCAATATCTTCTTCCTGTTATCAGTGAAAACAAAATTCTCAGATCTGTTCATCTCAATCTATCTTCTTCATTGTTCAAATTCCAACTGTAAGCTCTGTTCTTTGCACCCATTTTGTTGTTTATTCCTTTGCTTGATTTGCATGTTGGATGGATGGAATATGTTTGTAATCGACCCATGAGTCTTGTGGACTTAATATATGGATGCTGCTCAATTGCTCGTGCATTTCTTGAATTACTTGTTTGGGATTTCACTTGGGTTTGTCTCAAAATGTTAACTTTTCATCTGGGTTTTTGCTAATTTGATGTTTGTTGTGCATTTTCTGATGAAATGTCTTTCCTCTTTCTTGTTTCACGTTTCTAGTTTTACCTTTGAAGAGATAAACGGGCTAATGTTTAGCTAGAGAGAAGGTTTCATTTGTACCCACCTTGGTTACAGTGTGATTGGAAGTTCTCATCTGATGCATAGTGATTTCCTGCTCAATTTTGAGCAGAATTCATTCGTGTTAATGTGTGTTTCTTATAATTTCAATCCCATTTTGATTTACGATTTTGTTCTGTTTATTTCTCTTTTTTTTTTTTTTGTTCAAAAACTAAATAAAGCATCAAGAAAGCATTGTTATTTCAATAATTTAGGAGCAAGAAAATCAAGGGGAATAACCAGAAGAAATGATTTAGTTTAGGATTAAAGTTCTGGAATTTGGGGCTGATGTCTCTTCAACTTTAGAGTTAAGACCGAATTTCCCTTCAAATTTCATGGGAAAAGGGTTATAACAGCTTGAGCTGATCTCTATTGATAATTTACTATTACATGTTTGATTATTTTCCTCAGAGAATGGACTCTCTCCCTGATGCACTTGTTCAGTGCATTTTGTCGCATATGAGAAGTGGCAGGGACGTGGCTGTTTGTAGTTGTGTATCAAAGAGATGGAAGGAGTCATTGCCTTATATTAGAAGCCTTTACTTTCCTCGTAGCTCCTTTGACAGTCACTCTGGCGGTGAGCGCCCTGACGACATAATCAGGAGAATGGTCTCAAGAATTGTTTGCTTGGAGGAACTTGTCGTGTATAGCCCATTCTCCAGTGCAGGACTTGCCTCATGGCTATCGCTGCTTCAACCGTCACTCAAATACCTTGAACTCAGATTGGATAACATTGCTGAACAACAGGCGTGTCTTGAGAGCCCCTCAAAATTGGATTGCATTAGCAAAGTGAAGAATTTGGAGTCTTTAAAGCTCTGGGGTGTGCTAATGATCCAATTGCCCAAGTGGGACGTTTTCCCAAGGCTTCGAACCCTTGAAATAGTTGGTGCAAGATTGGAGGATCCTGCATTGTCTGCAGCACTGAAGGCATGCCCTAATTTGACTAACTTGCTGCTGCTTGGTTGTGAAGGACTTAAAATGGTCTCAATTGATTTGCCTCACTTGGAGCAGTGTAAGCTCGATTTTTATGGATTGGGTAACTGCTCCCTTTCTCTCAAATGCCCAAAAATTCGTCTCCTTGAGGTACAAGGTTGTAGTTGGATTAGAGTCCGTGAGACTAACTGCTTGAGGCACCTGTCGATTTCCAATAATGCTGGTAATTACTCTGCCCAAATTTGATGATAATTTTTTGTTAATGCTATCTGTGCTGCCCAGTTTTTTCCCTATGATTTCTAAAGGTAGGTAAAATAGGTGGCATGTAAATTCAAAATACAACTGATTATTTTGCTCCATCGATGCTTTCAGGTAGAGTATACATGGTAGACTTTGGAAGGCTTTCAGCCCTTGAATACTTGTCCATGAGAGGGGTCCAGTGGTGTTGGGACGCAATAAGCAAAATGCTTGAAGGGGCAAGGGAGGTCAAGCATCTCTTCATGAAGGTTGAGTTCACTGGGGATTTTGAGGTCCTTCAACCTTTTCCAGAAGTTGACTTTGTTGAATTTTTCAATAACCATCCCAAGCTACAAAAGTTCGATATTCATGGTGCAATGTTCGCTGCCATTTGCCAGAAAAACAGCCTGAAAAATGTATGTTGATGATATTTTGGTACTCTCATTCTCTCCCCAAAGTTAACCATCAAGATTGAATATATTGAAATAGTCATGGTGGTACAATTTCTCTATTTGCAGGTGGAATTAGGCTTTGTGATTCCTTGTCTAGAAGAGGTTGTAGTCACGGTTAGATCGCCATTGAATGCTGAACAGAAGATGAGCACTCTTGAGTCACTGTTGAAGTATGGGAGAAATCTGAAGACGATGGTTATAAGGATCCTTCAGATGAAGAGTAGCCATAGCAGCACAGATGATTTCTTTGATGATATTTGCAGGTTTAGATGCATGAATCGCAAGATAGTTCGAATAGAATAAAGCTGATCTGGGATATTTTCTCATTCTTTTCAGTTCCCTAATTGACAGTTTTGACTGCTAATTTCGTTGAAAATGTGATCATTCTTAAGTGTCTCGTTCTTAGAGATGCTTTCACATTTTTAGTTCCCAGTTTTATGTTGTTCCAGTATTTGATCTAGTTAAACAGGCATAAGGGGTTTTGATTTGTTAATTCTCTACCAGCCGAGTAATGCAAACAATAGGTCATGTATTAGACTGGGTCAATCCCCACTCCTTGTTGTGTACCCCGTTAGCGTTTATTTTGAACTAAGCCTAACACCTCTGGCGTCAAAATCTTTTGGTGTAGTTACAGGCTAACTTAAGTCACTCGGGTTAAATCTCCAGCACACGGTGCATAACACGAATGCCTATTTCGTCCTCTGCGTGCATTGAAGCTGGGGAAAATTTTGATATGGACTGGAGCTCTATAACTTCAGAAGGAATGTGTTCCGGCGTAAGCATGGGTTGTATTACTATTACCTCTCCGCTTTAATGAATACATCTAGGATAACATAACATGCAACTTGAGTCTTTAGTGGCTTAGATGCAAAGCTGAATGAAACCACAACCAACCATAAACCACTGTTTGTGCTGTTCAAATCTAGTAGGGTGCATTGTTTTATGGTCCGAACTTGTTTTACAATTCGGACTGTAAAACAATGACTCTAACGGGGAAGGACTCCAAATATCAAGAGATTCTTTCCTCATCCAAATCACCCAATATCAAGAGGTCCTTTCCCCATCAAAGAATTAATGTTTTAGAGTCTAAAAGAGTCCATACTATAAAACACTTTTTCGAATCCAAAAATATGACCGGATGAAAACCAACAAAGGACCTGGTTTACATGGGTTGGCTTGGCTTGGCTTGGCGAGTTCGAGTTCTTCTGTCAGTAGTTTCTCATAAGTCGTGAATAAGTGATTGTGAGTATCACTGAAAGTCACCACGGCATGCCCTTGCCTTCTACAGGGTGACGTTCCTAATATGATGATAAAGAAAATCTCTTTAAGATGGTAAATGTGAATATTCTTTTAATGATATCAAAATTGTCCTCCTGCAGCAACGTGTAAAATAAAAATAAAGAGAAAAAAGAGTTATTGAATTTCCTATTCTAGCTAGAAACATCTAAATAAGCTTCTTCTTTTGGAAGAATCGCTTCAAGTACAATACTTGTAGAGCTGAAACCACAATGCAGATAGCCAAAGACATGATACTAAACCACGCTACTCTGGCATTTGTTGTCTCACTCACAGCTCTCATTTCTGCTTCTCTGTTAATGTAACAAATAAAAGAAATTGAGGACATATTAGAGACATAAGAAAAAAAAAAAAAAAAGACGCTAAGTTTTATGATACTAACAAGTTGGCGTTTGTGACATTTACCTGCTTTTTAGATAGATTAAATTCTCGTGAATGGCTTCTACAGCTCCTTCTAGTTTCCTCAGCTCAAGCTCAACACCCTATATGTAGGCAATGCATTGGTAGAGATAAGCATGATGAAGCAACAAGAATAAAGAAATATAAGGGCAGGCGATGAGAGGACCAATTCCAAATTTGAAATTGCACCTCTTGAGAGAAGTTTATTTTTTCTTCCTTACTCAAACCATTACCCATTTAATAATGAACTTATCCCACTCTTTTAATGATTATTAAATTATCCTAAGAACGCAATTCAGTTGAAATGAAAAAACACTATTCTGAGCTTTGGATGTAAGACAGACTCTTTTCAGTCTTTGTTACTCTTTCAACAGGAAGATACAAAACTTAGAACGACTCACCTCAATTTTCTCTTTTCTGGCAACAGATTCCCAATCTTTAGCTGCAATTCCAGTTTTCCAGTCAATGTTAACACTAACATCTTTTCTACCTGCAGCATGGCTCTCCAACCAGAAACATGCCAGGTAGTTTCCAGCCTCCTGAGTTGTGAATGCAAATTGACCATGTGTCACATTCTCCTCATGATGAAGATTACTCCCATAAGGGGATGTAACCTATATGACAGAAACTAGTAGTTAGAAATTTATTAGGGAAATAGAAAGCAGAGAGAAAAGAGAGTATATTTTGCCTTGAAAAGTTATAGTTGTCTTCCACTAAGTCACTATTGAATGCTAGAGTTGGCTTCTAAGAAATAAGAAATGCCCAAAGATAAACTGCTTAATTGCAACATAACCTATCACCGATGGCAAAAAATGCAATGCAATCGTATCTCATAAGCAACAATCCTGTGAAACTCCTTGAAGATAGTGAGAATGGAGAAGATATATGATATAAAACATTGAGAAAAAAATTTAACCATGAAGATTACTAAGGCTTCAAAAGATTAAAATTTATGATTAGCAGCAGAGAATTGATACATGGGGATCATGCCCAGCCAAAAGCAACCTAAACCAAAACGGCCCCTACAACAAATAGGGTATACACTGCTTTTCAATTTAACATACTTTTGGCAACATCAAAGGCAACACAAGTATGAGGGACATTTTAATCTATCATTAGCGTTAATTTGCATTGTGCATTCAACTAGTGAAATTATCAATCTTAAACATCAAAGTCTCACATTTCATGGAAGCATTTTAACTGGGAATTCAACAGCATAATGCAAACCAGATACTGATATTACCTCACGCTGTGTTGACTTAACAGATGCACCAACCCATCACCCCCTAATCCTAGCCTGATATTACCTTTTCCCCTCTGTTTAACAACTAACGACATTTCACCTTGAAAAGAAAACAGAAAACTCAACAAACCTAGCCTGAGCATTTGAATTAATGAATTACATCTTCTGTACCATGTCAAATTCATCAATAGTCACTGTTCATGTAATCAAGAATAATATCGAGCAAACTACCAACAACCTGTTGGTCTAAGTGGAACAACCTTGAATTTTGGTCTCGGGTTCCAGTCCTGTGAATGGAGAGACAGGTGCTGGGAGAGTTTCCCCTTATGGGGTCCGACCCGGCTCAACTCCGGATTAGTGGAAGCTCAGTGTGGCTCCCGGACAGCCGGGAGGGGTTTAGTACCAAAAAAAATCATCGAACAAACTGATTCTATGATGAAACATGCACTTCTTCAAGATTGCTTCTTTGTACAGTAATTATTTATCAACAAAGAAGAAACTCCAGTAATGATAAACCCCAATATTCCAACGCCAACGGATCGAAATGGTAAAGATAGAAAGGGAAATGAGGGGAAATTTTGCACCTTGACGGAGATGGTGGGCACGTGAGCGTGATCCTCGGAGATGACGACATAGTCACCCAAGACAACAACGTTGTTCTGGATTTCCTCGGAGACGCATTTGGTGCCGGACTCTGGAAGACTTAACCATACGGCTTCACCCACCGGAACGGTGGTCCAAACCCACAATAACACCACAGATAACGCTCGGAATATTGTCGCCCACTGCACGTTAGTACTCTTCATCGTCTATCTCGAACTATCGACGTCGCCCGTCTGGGATTCCGAGAGGTTTTGCACGATCGGAAAATTTAGATGAAATTGGATTTGGATCTGTCTAAACGTCTCGGGCGCCGATGCTTTCAGTTCCAGTCCAGCTTCAGTTTCGTTTCTTTTCCCTTTTTTTTTTTCTTTTTTTTTTTTAACTTATTATTTTGGGTTGGAAATGATTTTTGTATAATTTTTTTATTTTATTTTTTTTATATAATTTAATGTATTATTAAAATAATTAATTATTTTAATTTATATATAATTTATGATATTAAATATATTCATCTATTTATTTTAATAATATATAAAAATTATATAAAAGCATATATAAAAAGTTTTCCTTATTGTACCTTCCCAATAGTTTTTTCTGTTATTTTTAAGGTTTTAACTATCAATACAAAACATAGGATTGCAAAGATCAGGATGCCCCGGCAATTATTGGCCAGAGTGATGATGAGAGGAATTAAATAACCTTAATAAATTAATATAGGGGTTTTTTAGGCTGTGGATACAAATTAAAAAAAATCATTAATATATAGAAAAAATTTATTAAAAATATTTAAATAACTTCATAATAATTATGAACTTGCAGTTTTGTAGATATTTCGCTTTTTCCATCTTTTATCTCTTTACTTTTTGTGACATTTATACATGCAACTATAATGGTTATTAACCTCTCATAATACCGTGGATTTAGATATTAATTTATTTTTATTTAGTAGGTCACTTAAGTCTTAGGTTTTAATTCTTATAACTCTTATAACTTATGCAACTCTACTACTCTGTATATAGAGCTTGTTATTGTATAAGAAAGAAATGGAAGAATAAAGAACATCTTATAATTAAAGATGGATTGTGAAATTGTATTATTATATTGTTAGAGTTATTAAGTATATACAATAACTTAGTTAAAAGTGTTTTTATATATATAGAAATTTAGTAGGAAGATGAATATAATTGGACTTAATAGGGGCTTAACCTTCACAATAAGTTTTATTTAATAGATTTGTTGGATATTTATTTAGAATTTTATGGATATTTTAAGAAAATTTATTGAAGATTTTAATAATTTTTATAATATAGTTAGATAGTAAGATTATAATATAAAAAGATATAATTGAATTTGAATTATTATATTTATATAATTAAAGTTATCAAATCAATTTAGGATTGAAATGTAGAAAGGGAAATTATTGGGTTTATATTTTTTTTCTTCTTTTTTTTTTTCACTGAATTAATTTTTCAGATCAAATTAATGTCTTAATTATTAAAATTAAGAATTAGTACTTATCCGTCTTATTTTTTAAAAATTAAAAGGAAAATTATTTTAAAATTATGTTATTTTATTAAAGTATCATGAGACAGAAATAAAAACACTTTAATTCATACTTAAAAATATGATATTTTAGTTTTTTTTTTCAATAGACGTTTATTAAAATAATGAAGTTTTAAGATAATTTTCTTTTTAAATTTTAGGAGATAAAGCGAATAGACATTATTCATTTAAAATTATAATTATATTTATAATTATTTATTAAACATTTTAAAAGACAAATTGGGTATTTCTTTGATATTTTTGAGGAATTTTGAAAGATTCATTAGGTATTTATTTAAGATTTTGAAAGGTCCATTGAATATCTATTCAGTATTTATTGAAAATTTTAAAAAGTTTATTACATTTTTATTCTGAATTTATTGAAGTTTTTAACAATTTTTATAATATAGTAAAACATAATTAAATATGGGTTTTAAAAGTCTATTAGGTATTTTTTTATATTTATTGAAGATTTTAAAATGACTATTTAATATTTTTTTAGTATTTATTCAAAATTTATTAAGGACTTATTAAGAATTTTAAAATGTCAATAAATTTTTTTTTGAGATTTATTAAAATATTTAATTATTTTTATATAATATAATAAAACAATAACATAATCAATAAAACTTGACTCCAAATTTAAGGGTAAGGGATGGCATCGCCCCGTGGGGTCAAGAAGTGCCTCCCCATTTCCATCCCTGTTAATTATGAGGATAGGGATCCCTGCAAGGATTTTGACAAGGGTAGATTTTGCCTCTCATCTTCATTCCCCACGAGAAACAAGGATCCTTGTGAGGATCCCCATTCTTAGCTAATTAATATTAAAATATAAATTTTTGCATATAATTTTTTTGTAGCAACTCTAATAGTAGTTTCGACAGCAACTTCAATAACAGTAGAGCAACTCCAACATATTAGTAGCAAATCAGTAGGATGTAGTCTAGCAGCAACTCCAGCAGTAGCAAAGCAACTCCAACAGATCAATAATAGATTAGTAGGCAGTAGTCCGACAACAACTCCAGCAATAGCTCTGGCAGCAGCAAAGTAACTCCAGCATATCAGTAGTAGATCGATAGTGGCAATGGAGAAATGAGTGAAAGTGAAGGCAGAAGGATGAGAAGGGCAACAATGAAGAAGGTCTGAGATTCTTGAATCTTGAAGAGTGCTGACAGTAGAAGGGAGAGGAAGGTGAGAGTGATGAGAAATGACTTAAGATTTTAGGGTTAAATGGTTAATAATGGGTTGGGTTGGACTAGGTTGGATTGGGTTGGTTGGGTTAGGTTAGATTGGGTTGAGTAAAATTGAGTCAAGATTAATTTTTATTAGATTGTGTTTGGGTTTGAAAGTTAAATTAAATTTAAAATAAAATTAATTTATATATTTTTTAATTTTTTTTATAGGGATGAGGATTCTCGTAGGGACTTGTGAGGCGAGGAAAATTTATCGTGAAATTTCGCAGGGAGAAAATGTTCTTGTCCCTGCATCGCGGGGAGGAATATTCATCTTTGCCTTATCCCTATGATGGGGATCCCCACGGGATCTCACGGGGATCCGGACAAATTGCCACCTTTACATACTAGGTTAAATACCCTTTTTGGTCCCTCTACTATAGGAAAGAACCCCTTTTTGGTCCCTGTACCGAAAAAATCCCATTTTTGGTCCTTACTGTTCACAAATCCGTCCCTTTTTTAGTTCATCCGTTAAATTTTAGCTGATGTGGCAGGTTAATTAACGAAAAAATTCATTTTGTTTTTTTTATTAAATTACGTAGAAAATCCACGTAGGAAAAATTGATAACATGCTAAATTTTTTATTTTTAATTACTGATTTGCCCTCAAAGATTGATGACATGGTAAAATTTTTTCCTTTAATTACTAATTTACCCTCTTCTTTCTTCCCCATCCTCTCCTTCGTCCGGCCTTTTCTTTTTTTTCTTTTTCTCTTTTTACCTCTAGGCAATGGGTTCGCGAGGTGCGAACCCAGGAGCTGGGTTTGCGAGGAACCCAGGCTCCTGGGTGTGCGAACCAAGCTCGTGGGTTCGCACCTCGCGAACCTGCCTTTTTCTCCTTCATATTAACACTGGTTGGTTCATTTTGTTTGTTCGTTATGGTTGCATTTTAGGTTTTGCGAACCCAGGCTCTTGGGTTTGCCTGAAGGTAAAAGGAAAAAAAAGGTTGGAGGAAGGAGAAGCCGGGGAAGAAGACGAGGGTATATCAGTAATTAAAAAAAAAATTAGCATGTCATCAATTTTTGCCACGTGGAAAATCCACGTAATTTAATAAAAAAAAGAAATGAGTGTTTCCGTTAATTAACTTGCCACATCAGCTAAAATTTAACGAAGGGACTAAAAATGGGTCGGATTTGTGAACATTAAGGACCAAAAAGGGGATTTTTTCGATATAGGGACCAAAAAATGGCTTTTTTCTATAGTAGAGGGACCAAAAAGGGTATTTAACCTACATACTACAATAGGGATCAAAAGTTCCTAGGTGGATTTTTCTTTTTCACTCTAATTTTTTTATCTTTTAATCTATATTAGTTTTTTTTTTAATTGTTTGGTCGTAATTGATTTTTAATTACAATCATAATCAAAATTGTAACTCTAGCACTTTAAAATATTGAATCTTAAAGATCCAAATCTTAATATCTAAAATATTAAATTTGAAAAAAATTTAAATCTTAATACCTTAAATTCATATAAATATTAAACCTTTATATTACAATCATTAAACCCTAAAAAATTTAAAATTTAATGTCTTAAATCAAAATAATTTTATTTACTTTTAAAAATTTAAACGATGTGTTTTAAATTTAGGGACTTAAAAATTATAATCCTCTAAATTTGAAAGATTAAAACCAATTGTGCCTTTTCATATATGCACGGAAGAAAGGAACATGGAATGGAATCAAACGAACATCGCAAGGGCTTCGTTGGTATGGGACTTCCGCTGCAATAGAATTGTTACAAATTTAATTCGAAATTGAATTGAAGTTATAGTTAGTAAATTAAGAAAGTTTAAATTAAAATTAAATTTAAATTTAAACTTATGAGTTGAATTAAATTTAGGTAATATAAAATTTGAATTGAAATATAAAATTCATTAATTTAAGCGGATTTTAAACTATTAAGATTTAAGAGAAAAACATTACGTATTGATTTGTGATATTACAAATATTTTAAAGTGATTTATTAAATATTTTAAAAGGAATTTTTGAAAATTTTAAAAGTTTATTACGTATTTATTTGAGATTTGTTGATAATTTTAATAATTTTTATAATATAATATATGATAGTATAAATAAATAATTTTTTATTTTATTTTATTTTATTTTGGGTAAAAACCAGTTTTTACATTTTAAATACCTTCATTTTCACTTTTATCAACCAATATTTAAATGGGGTAAATTTTGTGGACTTGTAACCGTTAAAAAAAAAAAAAGAAGAAGCCCGCTCTGATTTGAGCGGGAGATTCTGGTGGGCTTTTGATGGGTTTTTTATTGGGCTCACAAAGACTGAAGTATGGGCTTAGAAGTGGGTATTAAGAATCTTTAACGGTGGAAGTGGGTATTAAGTATTAACTATTAAGAATCTTTAACGGTAACTTTGGGTGGTGGGGCGCATTCTACTCTAAATTTACATTATTCACAACTAAAGACAAAAGGGCTACCGTTTTAATTCAAAAGATGGATTTCACAATGTCAAATGAGCATGGCCCACCCTACCCCATTAAAGATTCCCCAGCTATGAATGAGATAAGAAAAGCCGCCCTAAATTGAATTCCAACGGACCAATTCCCACACTCTTTTTTTGTTTAGTCAATGGTTTTATTGATAAGCCATGAAACTAGTGGAACTTCTACATGTCTTTGTGTATGAAGCACCCATGAATGTTTTGTAGATCCAAGTTTAAGAATTTCCATTCCTATCAAAGGGTTGTGGTTATTACCATTTTCTTGTCTTTAGAGAGGCCCTTATGGCAGTATCTAATGTTTTTTTTAAATTTAGACTACATTAATACTTTATTTACAATTAAAATATTATGAATGATAATGAATTAAAAAAGATTCATTAAAAACATTTGATGTTAGCAGTCATGTAGTCTGATAATAAAGTTATTTATATTTGTAATCACATATTTAAGATTTAACTTTTAGTCTTTACTTAAAAAGAAAAACATTAAAGACATTTGAATAATATATGAAGTTCTAGTATTTTAAATGCAAAACTTACTAATTTTTACTTTTTTCTAGTATATTTATTATAAATGTTTTTCTAAATTATTCCTTAAGGTAAATGTCAAAAATGAATTAATTATACCTTTTTTGCATTTATTTTGCATAAAAAATATACATGTTAGACTTTAAATTTATTAATTATTCAATTAAAACTATTCATGTAATATTACTATTAAAATTAATATCTAGTTTTATATTTACTTATAAAAATCTGTTATAAAAAAATAAAATTGTTATGTGGCTCCAAACATAGGTTAAGAAAATCCTTAATTATTATACTTAGACTTCGTAATTTAGCATTTATTCTTCTATGATGTAATGAGACGACATTGTAGTCATCCTTTATATGATTCTCCACGGTACAGCCACTCACACTTCCCTTTGTTCCTTCTCTAGCATTCACTATTTAGACTACACATTTCCTTGAATTCACACGTAAAGATCACTCAAAGATGGAAGCCCTCTTCTCCCAATTCACCTTCCTCTCAGATCAAGCTCTGCAAGACAGATCCTTCGACCCCTCCACAGTCGAAGACCTCATGAAACTCTTTGAGATCGAAGCCTACAAGTCCTGGGCAGCCATGGAACTCGAGGGACAGAGGGAGGAAGAAGAAGCAGAGGAGTCCCTGCAGCAGGCTGAGGCTCATCTCGATTCCGTCCTGGACAGTGCCATGGATGAGTTCCGGAGATTTGAGGAAGAGATGGAACGGATGTCGAGAGAGGAGCTGGATTCTCTGGTTCGTACAGGGGAGAATGCACGGGAAATGGGGAACCTCATGGAGAAGGCGGCGAGTGTTGCTTCCAAGAGGTATATTGAGGCGGTGATGAATTCTGCGGCTGCTTCCATGAAGTCTGCTTGGAAGGGGATTTCCTCTCACAAGGTTCATCCTTCATGAGAGATTTTTATTTTTATTTTTTTCTATGCATAATTGGACAAAAACCCAGTTCTGGTTTCGGGTATCTTTAAAAATTTAGTTCTGTTTATTGAATTTCTTTTGAAGTCTATTGTACGAATATTCTACTTGTTGAATCAGGTTATGGTACTTCACTGATGATCCAAAAACAGTAATCCTTTGTGCTGCCATTTCAAACAAGACCAAATTTCCTAAATTGGAGTTAAAGATTTTGCTTTGATTGTCACTATTGTTGAGTATGAAAGTTCTAAGTTTATAGTAAAAAAAATATACATCAAATATAAAAAAAATTACTTTATTTATTATCAAGTGATTTTATGTTACGTATTAATTTTAAGTTATGTATTAGAGTTTAACCATATCCAAATATTTAGTTCTTAGGGAAGGGAGAATATATGAGGATAATGAGGTTATTTACTTTACTTTTGTTTTAATTTTTTAACACATCCAAATGTGTAGGGGAATGAAGGAAAATAGAGGAAAATGGAAGAGTATAATATCCTTTTATTTTTCATTCCTTAGTTTCCCTTAAATTAAACTTACTTATTGTTTATAGTTTCTCCACGGGAAGTTCCCTTATCAATTTTTAAAACTAAACATCATGTAATTTATATTTGAAGTTTGTTAGGCAAGTGGTGTTCCTAAATTTTTGCTCGAGAATTTGCCTTAAAATTCACTTTTGTAGTTAATATTTTTAAAAATTAATCACGTGATTAAATATTCTATTTATATAAATGGTATATGTGAAATTTTAAATTAATATAATATTTTATAACATTTAGTAAAAAAAACTTTTATTTACTGATAGTATTAAATTTTTATATAATTAATAAATTAATTAGATATTTACCCAAAAAAACTAACTAATCCTATTAAATTTATCTAAAAATTATTATAATGATCTCTATAAATAAAATTTTTAATTTAGCTATTCATTTTTAAAAACATCAATTAAAATATGATAACTTTAGAGGTGGAGGACAACTCGCAAACCTTTTACCTTCACATTTGTTGGTTTAGAAACACCAGTGAATGAAAGGGTTTTACCATCAAGGCGATCATCATATGGCAGATAATGTCCGACGACTTAATGCAGTGCAGATAGTGCTTTGTAAATTAGTGTACTAGAAATACTCACTTCATGAAATGAGATTTTTAGTGATAAAAAATTGTGATGAATATTAAAATTAACATTATAACATTAATCACAAATACAAATATATTCAATAATAATAAAAAAATTCATCACTAAAAATATATTTTATCATTAAAAAATAGTCATAAATAAAAAATAAGTTTGTAACAATAAAAATTATCATTATGACTCATTTCAATTAAAACAAATTTCAAATATTGATCATATATACCTTACACATTTAATGATAACCAAATAATTCATCATTTAAAATATATTTCATCATTGAAAAAAGGTTACAAATAAAAAATAAGTTTGTAACAATAAAAATCATTATTATAACTCATCTCAATTAAAACAAATTTCAAATATTGATCACATATACCTTACGCATTCAATGATGATCAAATAATTCATCATTAAAAATATATTTTGTCACTAAAAATTGTCAATAAAAAAATACATACTTGTGATGATAAAAATCATTACTATAATTTAGCCTTATTTAAGTTTTCTCTAATCAATGCATCTCATATCGGTAAAAAAAACACATAAGAGAATAAAGTTTTACACTATAAATATATCCCACATCGATGAGAAATATTTAAGAAAATAAAGTTTTGTACTATAAAACATGTGAAACTCAATAAAACTTGATTTTAGTTTGAGTCTAATTAATTTTAATTGGATTTGATTAATTTTAATCAAAATTGATTAGTGTTAAAATAATAATATTTTTTATTAAACTTTTGTGATAAATTTATATATCAATTTTTTGTGACAAAATTTTTATTATAATATTTGTGTTGTAATCGCGAAAATATCTTTTTGATTTAATATCAATTTTAATAATTAATGGCTAAATTTTTTTGTCATAATTGCATTTGTGATTATTTTTTTCTCACTCAATTGTAATATTTGCGATGAAAATTATTGCAACATAAATTTTTTTTATGATGATTAAATTTGTTACAAATAACTCATTAGTAATGTATATTTTTTTCATCATTATAAAATTCTTTTATGTGATAGATGCCAAATTCATCATTAAGGGCATTAGTGACAAGAATTTTATTAATAATTTAAATTACATCACTAATTTTAATTTGTGATGAAAAATAAAGGTTTAGTGACTAAATTTAGTCACTAAATATAGATTTTCTAAGAGAGTACTCTTTTACTACTAAATAAATTGATTTCATCCTTCCATTACTCTTTTTAAAGAAAGTGTTATATACATAATGCTTATGAATATAATAAATATTAATGACTTATTAATTTAAGTGGAAATATCTTATTTTTTAAAAATAAAAGTTTGAGATTGTAAATTAATTGAGATTTAATGTGATTTCTAAATATAAAAGGTTAACACAAAAAATAAGTATAATAACTTTTTTATTTTATATTATATAATAAAAAATAATTATTTCTCATTACTTAATTTATTATACAAATATATTATATGATTTTAATTTAAAATTTTTTTGTTTTTATTAAAAAATTATTATTAAACTAATTAAATTATTGAGAAATATAATATTTTGCACAATGTAACAAAACATTTTATAATTGAAATTTTTATTTAAACACTAATAAATAAATCAATGTGCATACACTAGTAGATGTTTCATTGCATCGTACTCAACATTGTATTGCAAATACATCTAAAAATGGAACTGACCTGTTGGTCAAGTATTTCTAATTATTTTTGTAAGGTTTATATCTTTTTTTCAATAGTAATAGTTTGTATCGGTCTCGTGATTAAAATATTAAAAAAAAATTCTAAAAATGACATGAACATGTTCAACGAAAATTACGCCCCGAAAATTAGCCAATACCCACCACCTAATTCACA